GGTTAAAATATATATTCGTGTATACAGTACAAGTTTATCTTTTTACCGATAACTTGAATACCGTAAACGTTAAAGACTTCAGGTTCACTGTGTATGTTCTGTAATGAATATAGAGATTCTGTACATTTTGGATTTTTGATAACTCCCCCTTCTCCCAAATTTACTAAAAACGCATTCCCAATACTAAAGACAAGCATTTGGGTGCCACAATTATGCCAATTTTTCATTAAGAATGTGCAACGAGAAGAAATGTTATTCAGCAATTAAGTTTCCATAGAAAGCAGTCAGCAAAGTGCATGTTTAAAGGTGTGTGAGTATGTGTGTGTGAGTATGTTTTGTTTGTACTGTATATATAAACAAATTTTCGAGTGATAGGAAGAACACATCTAGTAGGTAGGTTTCAGAGTATTTCCTAGTCGGTCGACTAGTCTCGACTAGCGCACTCTTGCTTGCTTTATTCTAAGTCTTCCATATCTATAATTAGTATTCCCGTCTGTGGTTGTTTCGTCGATTAACCTGCGTATATAGTGTTTAAAGTTAAAATTAAAAATCAAGTGTTAAGTTATTGTGGTTTACGAGATCGCTACGTTCACAAGGACGCATAGACGGGTATAGTTAAATCGACTAAATCGTTCGTCGCCCTAATCAGCAATACATATTCCATATAACTTCTGTTACATAGCCTGTAACAAAGAGACAAGTTTAGTTAACGTAAGGTATGAGTAGATATGTATAGTAAGTTGTATGTATTACTTATGGACTTATAAGTATGCTATGAAATTATTATACTCATTCAAGAAGTGAAAGAGTATGTTGGCTTTGTGCTTTGATCTAAAATTATAAATATAAAATCGTGGGTACCCTCAAAATGTTGCGATTTGCCCGATACCCACTAGGGGCGTGGCAAATCAGATCTGAATTTACAGTGTATGTTTACAAATGTTGTTATATTTTGAACAAACGCAATTGAGCCTATATATTTGAAATTTCGAATATATACTCATGAGTTCAATCCGCTTCTAAAAATATATAGATTAAGTTAAAAATATGTTATTAAGTTACTGTTTATTTTAAAATTAAACAAAAAAATTTTAGTTCTTTAAATTGAAGAGTATGCTGTTTTTGGAATCTTACAAATATTCCAATAGAAGATATAAATCATATGCTGAAAATTTAATTGAAATCCGATAAATAACACTGAAGTTATTAAACAAAACTTTTGATTTAATAAAAAACTAGTAAGAACACATGGCAAAGTGTGCTAATCTTACGCATTTCTTCTAAGCAAATGCAGAAATACATTAAAGTGCATGTATTATTTTCTATCGAAAAATCGCAATTGCTATTGAGTTGTATTCGATTAGCTTTGTTTATATTTGCTACTTATTGCTCAAGCAATCTAGTGGCGTTATTGGTGGGGCGCTGTGCATTGATCATAGTTTCGTGAGAGTGTATATAGCATGTCCGTGTGAACACAGTGTCCTTGTAGGCTACAAAAGCTAAAGACTTGAAATTTTAATGTATTCTGCATTCTGCAAAACATTCTGTAAAACATACAAAGTACGAGCTTATCATGTTTTATTGATAACTCACCCAATTTCCTTACTATCGGTAAATATCAATAATATGTCTTCAAAAAGAAAGGCCATATAGAAGCATAGCTATTCAGAAATTAATTCCCATAGTAAAGCTCTTGCTGCAGCTCAAGCGCATGCGCTGCGTAAACTCTGCAGTAAATGTGTGTGCATGTGTTTTTTACTATATATGTATAAAAGAATTCATCTCCTAGAGCTCTCTTATTTTTATAATTATAATTAAATACCCTTTCTTCTTCCCGATAGATATAGAGATACAGAATAATCCATTTGTCAGTGTTACTAGGATTTCAATAGTGGTCCCTAATGTTGCTAGCAGATATCTCTCCCGCTCAAAGCATCGGTCACGTTCTTTCCTTTTTCATACGCTATCCAAAAATCATGTCCTAAACAAAAAGAACGAGTCAAAAAAAAGGGAAAATTATTATTCTAACAAAAAGCAGAAGCAAACCAAATCATCTTGTATAACCCTTTTTCCTGTTTGACACCAACAGCTGCACATATTACTGCTCCTAAGGTAGCTACATATGTATACGCCCACAATGGCAGAATTAATGTCATTGCCTTTCGATCAAAGCATAGTACTTATCGGGTAAACAAACATCATAAGCATCATAACCAACCGCAACATTTTTGCTTTCAGTACCTGCTGTATGAAGTCGGACGCTACCAAATGCATTGGTCAGCTCCAAAACTTTGTAAGAAATGGGAGCGTGGCAAATCGGATAGCCACGCTCCCAGTGAGTGAAGATATATAATATTTAGCCAAACATTAGAATGAATCAAATAATAATGCTGGACATGACAGCGTATATTATCGGCGAGGTGCAGAGGATCTCAACAGTAATTCACATGCCAAATTATTTGGCCAAATTTCTGTTGGCCAATTTTTTTAAATTTTGAGGTTAAGACTCCAAAAATGTAGAAATGTAGAATATTTTCAATATGGCACACCTCCAATATATATATATACAGAAGATTTTATAGCCAGATCAGGTGGATGGACGGTATATATATATATATATATATATATATAACCGTCTTGTAGTCCATCTGACTTGCCGTTCATCCACGTGATCTGACTATAAAATCTTCTGTTCGATTTTGAACACTTTTAGTGCTAGAGACTTAATATTTTGATGATATATTCGTGTAAGCAATAATATATAGAATACAATAAAATACAAAATCTACATCTAACCCCATAGGGGCTTTTCAAACTACAAAAATCGATATTGATGCATTAAAACATTACTAGGGGTATAGATTCCTAACCTAAAATCCGACAGTGATATTACTGTAGACTCCTTCTAAGGATTGAAATCCACAGCAGCTATATATGTATACCTGATGAGGGCATAGCAAATCAAAAGAACCTATATTATATAAAGTTTTGAAGTTGAGTTTAATTACTGAGAACATTTTTAGAACTTGAGTATCTGACTTGTTTTCCTTTTAATAGATCAATCATTGAACCGGGTTTTATATTTTAACAAGAATTTTTCAATTTAATTTTGAAAATATTAAACATAATAAATATTTTCAACCTTATTCCTTTATGTTAATATAAATATTTAATTAAGCTTTTGTAATTTCCTCTGAACAGAATAAAAATTCTTAATTCAGAACAAATTCCTTAATTGTTCGTGTTCCACAATCTACCCGCCTCAGAAGTCAGTTTAAAAGACTTCCTCCATCGGAACGAGTTACGGAAAAATCAGTCGTTGAACTTTTTAATGAAAAAAAAAACACTTAAAAAATATCGAGAAACGACCTTCGCATTGAATGCGTCTAAGAGGTAAGCTAATAAATATAAATGTTGTCGGTTGACGGATGTCAATGCACCTAACCAGTTTTTTAGGGAACTACTCAGGTCTCTATCTGGTTGTTATGTATTATTTATTTATTTTGGTTGGGCTGTCAACAGACAATTTGTTATGAATTAGCATATGGCGAGACAACGACACCAAATACTGCCCCCGATCATTGAACCTGGAATTATTATTTTGGATGTGCGACACATTTCTGGGTTTTGAATTCGATTTCATTTGAAACAAATCAAGATAAAAATATCTTCTATCTCAATTGTCTATTCGGTATAAATTCACATTGTGTTGTAAATATTCATTTAACTGTTCACTTTGGAATTGAAATTCAAAACCTGCATTTCTGTGTGCCATTGTAAACGCTAGTTTTGTTAAGGGCAATGTTAATGTCAAAGTCATAATTTACATGTAAAATTTTACAATGATATTATTGTATATAGTTCTTATTACCAGGTACCAGCATGGAAATATAATTATGTACGCTTAGCTTCAGTTGCAATTTATATAATATCAATGACTGAGCCAAGTCCATTTTTTGTTTATGGAAACAAAACACTTAAAATTATTCACAACCGTTCACGAAATGAAAAGAGAATATTAGTTTATACAGTAACGGTCTTGTTGTCCGTTTGAACGAACTACTGTCCGAATCCTAGTCGAAAAATGGAAAATTCTTTAAAATATATATTACTTCTGTGACATATTTGATTATCATAAATCTGAAATAAAATAATTTGAAAAAGAGTACGAAATTCGAATTAGAAATTTGGCAACTCTAACTTTATAATTAAGCGAGGCTTGCCCGAAAAATTGAAATTGGATAACGTTTAAAATCAATTTCTTGAAAATGAAAATAGTTCTCGATGTTTTTAACCGAGCCTACTTTAAAATAAAAAACTCACAGGTTTCGAGATTGGCGAAATGCATTAGGACAGACAACCGGATATGGGAACATCAAATCACCTCGTCAAGCTGATCATTATTTAACAAATGTATATAAAAGAGAATAATATACTAAATAAGGATAGTATGATAATAAGCATTGATTGATATACATACACTGATAGTACTCCGAAATACACTTACTCATGTTAGCTCAACTTTTTGTTGTCGGTTCAATGTCATGAACTTCACTGGGTCATAAAAATGGCAACACGAACTCAGAAACAAAATTCGTTGTTTTCTTTTGTTTACATTTCACGTTTTGTATTCGGCAGCACCCAAACTGATATGACTGCAGAGGGAGGAGAGAGGAAGAGACAGAGACAGAGATAGAGAGAAAGAAAGAGAGAGACAGGTAGGGCATACAAAGTGCTAATACGTGCTGCAAATGCTGGGTAACTCGTAGCTGCAGTCAACGTCAACGTCAAAGTCAACGTCGCCGTCGCTTCGCACCGCGTAGACAGTAAACTTGAAGCTTGGCAACAGGTGTTGAAACTTCCGTTCGTTATCGAAAAAAAAAAAAACAAAACAAAACAACGTAAAATGAGCACTAATCCGCATAGAACAGCAGCAAGTAAGTCAGTGGCTCAGTCGTTCCGTCGACCTATATATAAATTTATTTGCGCGCAGAATATTTGTGACAGTTCGCTGAATTGCTTTGCACCAGCAAATGTGTAACGGTCAGTTTTTGAATAGCAGCGTTATGTGGAAATTTGCGCAATTTTTAATAGTTTTACAAGTTTTAAATTATGCGCAGGCTCAGATTGCTTGTAAGTGCAATATTTTCAATACTTCTGGCCAATATTAAAAAAAAATAATGGAAACATTTTTTAAATATGTTGAAGTTACTAAAATCATAACATAACAATAATTTGATTATAATGATAAAAGTCATAATAGACAAAAATACAAATAATAATAAGTGCCTCAATAACAATAATTATAAAAATAATAGTCCTTATGTCTTATCAATAGTTACTGACCTGCCCTGCACAGTTCGCAATCCTAAGATCATCGGCGGTAGCGAAACGGAACGGAACGAAATGCCCTTCATGGTTAGTCTAATGCGTCGTGGTGGCCACTTTTGTGGAGGCACTATTGTACATGAACGCTGGATACTAACCGCTGGTCACTGCATTTGCAATGGTTTGCAAAAGTTCATGAAACCTGCACAGATTCAAGGCGTTGCAGGTATCCATAGCATTCGGGACTATCTGAATGGCATCAGCGACGGGCCCCAAGGCTTGCAAGTGGACTTCAAGCGCTTTGTACCACATCCCCAATATGATTGTAATAATGTGCAGCATGATATTGGTAATTATCCACTCTATTTTGTCAATTCAAGAAGTGAAACAATTCAATTTACATTATTAGCCTTGCTGGAACTCGTAGTACCCATTAGATTTTCGACCCATATTCAGCCCAGCTGTGTTAATTCAGAGAAAGAGGACGAGAAGCGTAGTTTGTTATCAGAATACGGCACGGTATCCGGCTGGGGATGGACACAGGAAAACCAGGCAGAAGGCGAACGTGCCGATGTCCTGAGAAAGGCGACAGTTAAAATATGGAACAATGAGGTTTGTGAGCGTTCTTATCGAGCACATGGCAAATCCAACAGCATAAGCGACACTCAGATGTGCGCAGGATATGAGGATGGCCAAATTGACTCGTGTTGGGTGAGTATTCAACTTTAGAGCGGAGCACAAAATGTTATGTTTCATCCTCCTCAGGCTGACTCTGGTGGCCCACTGATGTCGAAGGAGCATTATTTGCTGGGTGTTGTGTCAACGGGCATAGGCTGTGCACGTCCAGGGCTGCCAGGCATATATACGCGTGTTAGCAAATATGTGACATGGATGCAAAATATAATTGGAAATCGACAATAGCTGATATGATGTGATGACTAAATGTGATAAAACTGTGATATAAACATATCTTAAATAAATAACATATTTTCTATATTTAAAATAAATATATTGTAAAAAAAAACAGTATTTTAAAAATAATTGTCAAAAGCTCTGATGTTATGCACTCAACTGTTCAATTGATTTGGTCAAAAGCAATAGTGAACTGAATCGGAATTCTATTCGGTAATACATAGTCAGAAATGTTATTTTTTGTCTATACAAATTCTTAATATCTTATACATAAATCAGTATAATAATATATATTTATATATGTATAAAGTTTAACATTTGCTTTAATGTTATTAACAGCTTAATATTGATGTCCGGTTCGGTAAAAATAGAATGTAAAATACCGAGTACAATACTATATATATATATATATATATATATATGTATATATATATATATATATATATATATATATATATATATATATATATATATTTATTTACTATTTTTACTGAACCGTACATCAATATTACGCTGTTAATAACATTAAAGCAAATGTTAAATTTTTGGGTGACCATAGATTGTTATAACACTTTGGTGAGAATCATCTGTTGGGCATGAGGAACAAAACAATATTGTGTATGGACGACTCAGCGCTTACAAGGTAAAAACAATTTTTTGCTTATCATTTAGAATTATGTTTTAAAATTTGTATTAGTCTAGCAATTGCAGAGCTTATATGCGGAGTGCCAAATCAAGACTCCAACGCATGTAATAGGCCACTAGAGCGAAAAATAAATCCTCTAGGCAAACCAAACAAAAAGTTTCTAGGGCGGACAATAAACAATGCACTACGACACAACAAACGGGCAATCGAGCGAACGCAGGCGAAATGCCAGCAAAAACTTCAGGAATTAGATTACAAACATGAAAGGCGCAAGGGAAATGTCTTTTATAATCGAAAAATCACGGAAGAATTCGGTGGAAGCACGGAACGTAAAAATCATTCCAGAAATACATACAAAATAACACGCAATAGCAGAAGCTCGTCGAGAGAATATTGCAGTCGCAGCCATAGCTACATAAAGAAACACAAGAAAAAAAAGAAGAAAACCAAACGAAGACATCGTAGAAGAAGCACCAGTAGTGAACCCAAGAAGTTAGCAACTTTCAGATCTGACTTTATCCATTCAAACAGTTTGGCCCTAGCAGTGGCTATGGCTTATAATCGACCGCTGTATCAAACAGCAGCTAATAAACCATCCCCATCCCCATCCCCATCCTCACCATTGAGTGATATTGTTAAGGAACTAATGTCGGATGATGAAACGGCCAAACAAGGCATCCAGTTAGATGAACTAATTATGGACTCCTCAAATAATGAAATTCCAGCAATTGTCACGATCGATGTGAGCTCCCAAGATGAATCTGTCGACAGTACGGCTACTGGAGGCGAGAGTGAAACTAGCTCTAGTCCGGGAAATATCAGCTGCATAACACTTGTAGATAGTGAAAGCGATTTAGAAATAATTGAGAATAATGTGGAGCAGCCAAAAGAAGGGTGTAGTCCAGTGGCGTTTACAGAATTATCAATAATGGATGAGGTACGACGTACCGCCGATATTACGCTTACAGTGGACTTGACTGAAGATTAGATGATAATTATTTATAAAAAAAACTTAAAAATGAGGGACTTTAAGCTTTACAAAATATTTTGAAATATTCCATACTTTAAAGATTGTCATCATCTGGGAATAAATCAATTTTTAGTTTGTGACTATTAAAACATATATTCATGTTGGGAATACATACAAGCGAAGACCCCTTGATAACGTTAAAAACAAAACTAATCAAATCCAAAATAAATTGTCCTGATGTAACATGCATTACTTTACCATGTAATGTGTGTAAACGTCGTAGTTTCTAAATTTAGTGACAAACCGAACAATTATTTCAAATATTCTGTTGACTCAATTTATGCATATGTACACACCCACAATATAATAAATCATAATAATTTATAAATAAAGATTTCGTTAGTTGTGTGTAGTAAATGTTATGTATTCTAAAACGATTATGTATACAGCATATTTAAGACACAGATACCCTCACTTAATTTTTTAGTATTATAAATATAATTTTATCGAATGAAGTTGCGAAAGTATGCTACAAAGTGTTGGTATAATTTCGGAGAGTACAATTGACAACAAATTTCTATATCTCTCTTCGGTCGCTCTGTTGCCTTCGCTCTCTCAAGCGATCTGTCAAATGACACTATCTCTTGTCACTTTGCGACCAGCTGATTTTGTGTTTAAGCGCAGCGCAGTTTCATACAAATAAACATCGTCTAATTAGCAGCTGAATAGTTAACAAAAATACTAAAACGAGGTTTATATAATGCTTGGAAACTTAAAAAAGAAACTCAGCAACGCCATCCAGGAGGGTATTCTCATCTCAGAGAGCCTACAAGAACAATATCGTCAACGTGTCGGCGGCAGCACCAGCACCAGCAGTCGGACAAGTGAGACGATAAATCCAAAAACAAGTGACCTCAATTCCTCATTCTTGAGCTTGAACGAAAGTGTATTCTCTAGCCGCAGCGGCGTCCATTTGTCGGATGGTGTCGCCACACAGCTGAATGTGGCAGCGGGGTGCAATCTACTATCTAAATATGAGGACAGTTGGCAGCAAATCCATATAGCTAACGAGCAAAATGCTGAATCAGCAGCAGCGGTGGCTTTTCAAATTACAGCCGTGTTGCAGAGTGCCAACGAGAAACGCAAAACGATAAATGAACTAAATAGTTGTCTATCGGCTCTGCCTGCATTGGTGGTCAAGTTACAGGACTGCACAGAAGTAATAGGATCTTTAGAGCAATTGGGCTGGGAACTAGAGCAAGAGCTGGAAAAGTTGGAAAATCTGTGTGAGGAATGCGAGCTACAGGAATTCGTACTTGAACAGCAGTTTCAGCTATCCAAGCACAAGCAAAAGAAGCTAAACGAGCTGGAGCAGTATAGACAGCAGATTGCTCAGCAGTATCAGCAAAAGATTCAAACACGCGAAGAACAGTTAAGACAGCTCCAAAAGGAACGCCAAGCTGTATTCGATAATGAATTCCGTGGGGATCTAGAAGAGTATAAGCAAAGCGGACAGCTTCCAAGTATGATTTTTATTTAAGTAATTTTGAAAGCGAAAAACTCATATGAACTTTTTTTATTTTTAGAAATAAAACCAAAAACAACTAAACTGTCTTTAGAAGAAGTTGTTCTTGAGGAAAACGACTTCGAAACGACAGATGCCCTGGAGCAATTTCTTAATGGTTAATGGTTATCATCGAGCAATGCCATTTGTGCCTTTTGTGCAATTTTTGCAAATTTAAATACTAAGATTTTGTATTGGCTTTAAAATTAAATTTACGACGTTACTACTTAATACATCACACTAATGTATTTCACATTCAATTTATTTTCTGTTGATAAAGAAAAACTATGTAGTTTTACAAAGGGATTTAATTTCTATTCACGGAAATCTATACAAATAGGTTTTTTTATTTTATGAGAAAAAGTAGTAAATTATTTCTATGAAATAAATGGCAAATATCGCCAATATTTCCATAATCGATTACATATCTCCGTATATATCACATATTGCAGTCGTGTTAGATATTGCTATGGAATATCATTAATACTCATATTAAAAGTCTAATACATAAATAAATATCTGTATATGTATATACATATCTGTATATATATTAGGAATAAATCTTTTTTATCAAATATATTTATAAAATTCAGCACATAGAAATAGACAATATTGTTTTGGAAAGGAAAACTTTACTCAAGAGAGTCTGAATTAAATGCATTAGGTTAGTGGAAAATTTTCATTTATCAGCTGTGTTGGGGGATTTTCGATCAATCTATCGAGTTACGATACTCATCTTCAATTCCCGCCTCGGATCGACTAATTTGGACCCTGTAGTTTTTTAAATTTAAATAAATAAAAAATATAGTTTTCTTACATACATTACATAGTTTAGGCAAAGGCTTAGAATTTTTATTGAATTTCTTGATCTGTGGAAATTTAACATCAACTATTAAAAAATAAATACGCAATAAATTGCTTCTGCCAACGGAAAAGTGAAAGATTTTGCTAAAACTCCTAATTTTTTGGATTATTTTTGATATAAGCGTCAACTTAACAAATATTAAGAAAAATAAATCCCCAACACAATAGTATAATATAATTGGTAAGCTGACGTGGCAATTGGCGCAATTACGATTAAATTAATTTTAAATTAATTTTAGCGGCTACTTTAATTTTAAATTTCCCACTTCGCACACAAATATTGCGACGGCGTCGTTCTCTGATCTCTTCTCTTATTTTTTACTTTCTTAATTTTTTCTTTTAATATTTTTTTTTTTTAACTTTTTAAGAGTGCAAATCGCTTTTTCTTCACTTTTGCATTTTATGCTTCTCACATTTTTTATTTTTATTTTTATTTTCTTCTGTTCTTAGAAGTGTTGAAAATATGTAAAACTGTTCTACAGTTACTATGATATGATCAGAACTAAACTTCTTATGTTTGGAGCTACAGATTTGAAAATCGAAATATATATTTATCTTTATTATGCGTCGTTAAATAAATATATGAAACGTATAAGAATTTGCAGTAATCAAGCACAACAAAGCATATATTTAGTTTCCAACTTAAAACTGGGTCTTTTTTCTTGTGAGAGGTGAACTAAAAACTGTTGCAACTCTAAAAGTAAATTATCGAATAAATGTACACATTTTTTTAAAGCCAAAAAAATTTTTTTTTGCAATTTTAATATTTTGTTCAAAACTTTAGACAAATGTAAGTTAAGCATTTTCACGATACTCCTTATATCGATAACCAAAAATATAATAATTTAGGGCTGCCATAAAAACGTCTTTGCGATGATATGCCGAAATAAATATGAAAAACACCGAAAACATCGCCGCATCGGCATCAAAATATCGATATCATTGATGCCAAGACCTGTCCTGTAAATTTATAGATTGTATCAACATTTAAGTGGTAAATATTAAATGTAGGCTCACATTTTTATTTTAACAAAGTGTTCAGTTATATACGCAAATTAAAAAGTAATTAAAAGCGCACTTAAAACTGTAAGGATCGGTCTAGTTTTGCATTTGACGACGTGAAAAGGGAAGCACGCGCAGGCAGTCGTCGCTGCTGTCGCATCAGCTGCTACAGTGTGTGGTTGATATAGGGAAACAACCACGATACCGATACCAGGTCCATACCAAGTTCTTGTCCAATGTGCTGCCGGTGTTTTCAATATGAACAATATAATGATACATTTTCGCATTCGCATGAAATTATTTTGAGTTGAAAATACATAGAAGCAGACATACACATTATATATCACTGTATTTAAGCAGACCTTAAACATGCATACAATTACACATTAGTTATTGCTACATCCTTACATATATATGCAATCTGTAGACATATATGTGTATATATACATATATATATAAGCGTGTAGGTGTGTGATTTCTCAGCTGGAAATGTCTTAGTTATGGGCGACCAAATTTTTTGTGCCGGGTATTGGATATTTTGCTCAATATTTATCCAGGACACACCTATGCTGCTGACAGAATGAAAACTGACAGGCATAAATAAAGAATTGATCAAATATAGTTGGCTCTGCAAAGTAAACACGAAATTTTAACATAAATAAATTTGTTGTCGTTTCATAACTTTAATTTATGTATTGTATTGTAGCTACATATGTATGTCAATGTTGCCGTAATATAATGTTTCAATAACTGCCTTGCACTGAGAGACAGTGGTAAGTGTACATCCATACGTATTAAACAATTGTTGTATATTAACCTTGTATAATTAACCTTGATCCACAGCAGCAAATTCGTGAAATAAATATATATATATATATATATATTTATATATATATATATATATATATATATATATATATATATATATATATAAATATATTTATATATATATGTATAAATATATATTCATATATAAGCCAAATCCAAATTATACAGTTTTTACTTTGGTAAAACAGGCCAACTTTTGCAATCAGATCACACAAGTCATGCCACGAGGTAAACGTAGAGCTCCAGAAATCGGTGACAATATGGATGGCCAATCAAAGAGAGCACGCACCAGCTATACAACTATTGCGACACAACAAAGCAGCAGGTGAGCGTCCTATTAACTTAGTAAATTACGCCTTAAACTAAATAATTACCAAGAAAGGCTTATACTGACTTGACTGAATGGTGGGGAAAATCAAACTTTAAGGTATAAGTGGAGAAATAACGTAGTTTAGTGAATGTTGTTCATGCCATGTCACGTATTTGAGGGGTATTTGTTAGTTATAAAATAACAAAATGTATAATTGGCTAATATTCCGATCGGATCCAAGCCTTGATCGGAAAATGAAATTCCTTGCTTTATACTTTTCGGTTGCACTATTAAACGTAAGATATATACACAAGGTCGTGCTCAAATATTACATTTAAAATACGTTTTTATAGATATTCTAAACTTAGTGAAATTTTTGAAAAATCTGATTTCAATCCAAAGTTCAAAGTAATCAATCATATTTTTGATTGGTTTGTCAATAGGTGCAGATGTATGGGAAAATATATTGAACATTGGTCATGTGTATATGATAAAAATGATCTATGAAGATTTTTATATCATTGTTGGATAATAACATTTATATAGATCAGTTTTTCATTGTTATGCGTCTGTATCTATGAATGCCTGGATTTCGGAACAAATCTATATATTTTTTAACGTGCTTTTATAACATGAGCGGATCAAGTTAGCTGAAAGTCTTTATTATCTTCTGAGCTGTACTACTTACCGATAAAGCCCTCAAATGTACACATAATAAGTTTAAAAAGAAATATTTGTATAGCCATGTGCTTGCCATATTTAATATTCGTTGGTATGGCAGATATCAATTCGTTGATTGTTTTTATGTAATTATATTTTTACGATTTCGTTTATTCGATATCAAGAATGGATATAAATTTCTTATTAAAGAATTGCAACGTAATTTAAACGTGCAATACACCATTCATTTAATTAAACCTTTATATTTATTCATTAAATTCATTTATTACTTCTTTGAAATGTATCTTTGGTCACAAATTTAGAAAGGTGCATAAAAATTAAAATAAGTGTTTATATATGTTTTATTAGTACAGAAAGATTTTTGAACACAAAAATAATTATTTATCTAAAGATCGTGCTTTTGTATTTTAGAGGTGCAGTATTTTTATTTATTTTAGTATTCTGACAGATACAATAATTTATTTTTGATTCTTCCAAATGCTTTGTCCGTCGGTCCGTATGCTACAAAACAGATGAAATTAATTTCTAATTTTGCAACTTTTAATCTTTTTCAATTGTTAAATTTAGAGTTTGGCACAAATTTGTATGTTATGTTACCATATCTGTATACTTTCCAAAACCTGAATGCGCATATTAATGAATTTAGATATTTTAATAAGGAAACTATTGCTAGTCTTCATATGTGGTTACATTTTATTTGCTAGTTTTAAATACTTAAGTTTCTATGATAAACACAATTGATTTTTACATATTGAACAAATTAGCATATACACAAAAATGGCTGTGAGAATATGTTTTCAATAGTTTTTTGGTTAGTTGTGTAAATATATATTCGCATATATTTAAAAATGCACATCAATGTAATTATAATATATGTATACTAATTAACATTTCACATAATATTAACTATATGGAAGACATTTGCATTTATATATATATTTGTATATATTAATTTATATATATATATATATATAAATAATATATTTTTTAATTTTTTAACATTTATGTTTGTGGGTTGGGCGCCTCACAATTTCGATTAGGTTTTTAGAACATGATAATATTAGTTGGATACTTCAATACTGATATGCAGCAAATAACAATAGAAAGATATGACTGGAAAGTAATTGAACAAATTAATTGTAGTATATTGACGTTTAGTTTACTCCATCGAGCCGTACTGAACCTTCTTGACTTTAAAGTACCTGTAAGAAGTAAAATTAGTAGAGTTACTTACTATAGATCTTCAATAAAAATAAGCAGTCTAGTATTAAATCTATATCTATATTATTGCGCTAAGCTGCGTTAATCTATAGTTGAATTACTTACCGCCAACCACCGTATCCCGAAATAGTCAATAGAACCGCAATGGCTAGCGCTGTACCTACGGCCAAGGGTGCCGTCTCGTCGCGATAGGAACCGGTGGCACTACAGTGGAAGGATGGTCCCCACTTTCCGCTCTCCTTGAACATAAAGCTTTGCATGTGCATGTCGCGCAAGTAAAGTCGCGCAATATGACCAGACTGGTCGCCAGATTCATGAGGGGCATATAAAATTACAGTTTGTTCCTTGTCACAGAGGTACGACTTGCCCACGGGGGTTGGGAAATACATAGGCGTTTGCGCTGGTGAGGTCAGTTTCACATTTAAATTGGGACGGTCGGGATGTTCGAATAGTGGATTTGATGACGAATATGTCAGCTCAAAAAGGTTGATGTACCAGCCTTCGCCCCCCGACGACTGTGCATGTGTGTGGGTATTAGAAGTTAACTTTAGTTAATTTCTGGCATTATATTAGCAAGCTGGCGCATTTTCTCACAAAAGCAAACGCCCGGCCCCTTACCTTTTTAAAAGTCATGGACAAGGAAAAGCCTCTGAAGTCCATGGTCAATATTTCCAAATTCGTATTGTCGCACTCACCACTCAAGAGTGGATTGTCCGGCATATACAGATCGGCCTCAACATCCTCGTTCAACTTGTTTCGATATCGGAAACTTATTAGACCATCTACTTGCATTAGAATGCAGGTGATGCCATTAGTGGCATTAAGCCGATAAGTCGAAGTAGTCGCATCATGATTCATCGAAGATGCCTGCAACAGTATTTGATTAAACATAAAAACAAACTGAAATTGATTGAGTGAGATGGGTGAGGTTGGTTAGCACTTACCGATGGCGATTTAGTAGTATATTTAGAAACCCTCGGCGTTTTCGTTGTGAAAGCGCTCAACTGAAGGCCTTGAGCGCTATTCGCTGCGAAAAAATATGGATTTAACTCTAAATTGCTACTTTTTCCTCTAAGTCATTGTGACAGCACTGTAAAATGTCCTCCGTACTATTGATTTTTTCCACCCCAACTCTGAGTAACGCCATTGCTTGGGCAACGGGATGGCTTTAACAACTTACCAAGTAACGCGAATAGTATGCAACAGATAATGTTGAATACATATCCATTGGCATACTTCAAAGCACGGTTATTTTCACGGAATTTAAGCATTTTCTCGTATTTATTAACTAATGCCTTCGCTTTAGGGTTATTATTACGTACGAGTCCTTGCTACGATAGAAACGACGTGTGTCTCGCTTGAAGTCGTGCACACAACTGCGCCCTAAATTCGTATAAATTCGCGTTCGTTTCGGCTTCCATTTCACGACTCTTCAACTGCCATATTTTGACACGCATTTCATTCAACTCTCGCTTTCAGTTGAAATTCTAGCGCGCAGTCGCCTAAACACTGTTAAAAAATGTTTTAAATTGAATTATTATTGAAAAAAATTATATTACATTTATTGTTAATTTAAGTTGGTTTTTAAACTAACTTAAAGACCATCAATCAAAGAATGGGACATAATTCATGTGGATTCCTCTAATGAATTCTTAACTATGAATACTAATTGTTAATACCCCTCCACCATTCCCTTTAATATCGAAAATACTACATACTTGGCATTCAGTAACGCCCTGCTTTTAGATGTTATCATTTTCTCTGAAAATAGATTACTACAGTATAAACTGCAGATCCAATTCAGCACAGGAGCGTCTTTGCGGGCGTGTGTGTGTGCGTGTGTGATGTTGGTACCGTATGTACAAGAAACGTAGAGTGATTAACATAGAAATTCCGCGCAGATGTCCGGGTATCTCCTAATATAATATTTTTTTTTATCGAATTTGATGCGAAGTCACAGATAATTTAAAGAATTATAAAGTTCGTAATTGCTGAACTTTTACACTGCCTAATTTGTTATAGATGTTTATATATTGTCGTTCGTGAATAGCAGATAGAATAAATTACTATTCCGAATACTTAAAGCAAACTCAAATTTGAATTTTCTTTGCGTAACTTATGTTTTATTTTATCGTATCCCATGAATACATATTTATATTTAGGTATAAAGTTATGTATATGTAGAAATGCTCACTTTGAAATGTTTCGGGCTCTTTTGGCTGGCATTGGCATCCCCTTTAAGTTTACTATTGCTATTTTTAGTTGGCAACACTAAGAAAATGAAAACATTGAATAATACGTCAAAAGCGGGGCGGATGCTCAGGCTAAAAAATTAATTAGTTAAATAGAATAACCAAAATATATGTGCTTAAATGTTTTATGGCTAAGTGCGCTATACACAATTTATTAGTAAAATGTATTTAATAATGTAAATAACATAACTTAAACTTTTAAAAAATTTTCTCAGACGCCATATCAGAGCAGAAGATGGCTTTAGCCAGAAACGCTGCCTCGCCTGGTTCCATGAATATACTACGCCCGATGAGCCTGATACCCTGGGTGAGTAAAAATGGAATTGGTGATTTGAAAACGATATTTCTATGAAACACCGTAATTTTCAGGGCCAGACGGTATGGAGAAATTCTGTGAAGATATTGGCGTTGAGCCCGAAAATATTGTGATGCTTGTGCTCGCATATAAAATGGGTGCCACACAGATGGGGTTCTTCAGTCAGCAGGAGTGGTTAAAGGGTCTCATGGATCTCGAATGTGATTCGACAGCAAAAATGGTTGTGAAATTGGACTATCTGCGCAGCATACTCAACGATCCTAACTCCTTCAAGAGTATATATCGATATGCATATGACTTTGCCAAGGTAAATTCTGTGGTTATTGACAACAATCTTGTAAGCATAAATACACAAACATAAATTCACTTATTTGTTTCAACAGGATTCGGATCAGCGAAGCATGGATATTCTGACGGCTAAGGCTATGCTGCAATTACTTCTGGGCAAGCATTGGACATTGTATCCACAATTTGCACAATTCCTAGAACAGTCCAAGTACAAGGTTATTAATAAGGATCAATGGTGTAACATATTGGAGTTTTCGCGCACAATCTGCATTGATTTGTCAAACTATGATATTGATGGCGCATGTATGTAACAGTTAATAGGTGTGATAACAATATAAAGTGGATGTAATTTTAATCATTCCAATTGTAGGGCCCGTAATGTTGGATGAGTTTGTGGAATGGCTGCGTTTGCAACGCGGATTAGTCACCGGAAGTTCGGGATCCAGCTGAGAATGCCTGGATCACATAATTCTAGTTAAACTTTAGAAATTTTGTAGTGTACATCATGAGATGACCAGCGATACACACACAACAAATGCGAAAACACAAAGCACCCTCCATTACACACGCAAACTCTGGCATACACAAATACACCAAGAAAGAGACACAAGGCACTTGAGACTGCGCAAAACTGGCAAAGCAAACCAACTATAAAACCTACACTATTGATATATATATATATATATTTAATGTAATAATTTAATTGTAAACATTTAAAAACAATCTACATAAAGTGTTACTTTTAAGGCATCACTGAAATTGCTAATGGAAAACAGTTTTAAGGAAAACAAACTTTAAATCCATTGAAACAGCATAGCAATACCCCAAAACTTAAAGAGAACTAAGATACAAACAAAAAACATCATATACGATTTATAAATGGCAGAGTCAAACATCCATATGTAGCAGCGTATTGATTACTCTTCGAGAAAGTGGATGAGCAGTCATGGACTAATTTGAAGATCCCATAAGCTTATAAATTTGGATGTAGCTTGTTATTTATATGTTTAAATATGTTAGAATAGGCCCTATTTGTCCGATTCGCTAGCGGTGTAGAAAATGGTAATGGATTAATTGAAGTAAATTTTAAATGTATCTAATGAGAATATGGGTTTTCAATGCAGTAATCTCTTATCAATTTAATTTATATTTGTGACTAAAGCTCGGATCTTGTTATTCAGTGACATGAAATGACTAGTTGTTCTAAAATATAATTAGGTGACGAATGGAAATAAAAATATAAACTATTTTTATCAAAAATTTGGTTGTTTATTATAGGAGGCAGGTTGCATTTTGACTTGCAACTTCCCTCGAGTGGTGTTGCCAGATCTATTAATTTACTGCTTAGCGTGAGGCCAGATATTTCAACTATTAGTATTTTTTGCCAATTGTTGAATAATTAATATATAATTTCAGTATTGTGCATTTAGGTTAATTATATTTATTGATAGCTGTATGTATCTTTATATATATATAGTATAAATTACCATTTGAATAAAGTTATTACTTTTTTTTTATTCATATAGTTTAAATTTTAACGTTAACATGGAGCATTGTAATTATTTTCCAGCACTGCTCACACAGGGCCGCTCAAAGCAAATTATCGTTTGTGATATAGTGACGCTGAAAAACTACTCAAACTGGCATTCAAATAAAATAAACTGTTTCGGCGCGTTCTCCGCTTTGTGCCTGTGATTCGTGTCTGTCTGGGTCTTGTGCGTTTAGATCATAGTGTGAATTTGTTATATTTTTTAATATACTTTGGGGTATCTATTTGCGTGCCGTGCACAAAAATAATTAAACCTGAGAAAATAAAAGAAGCAAGCGGGCGAGATATAAAAAGTCAAGTAAACGAAAGTACCCAAGAAAGACAAAATTGAGAAAAATGGCCGCAAAGCCTGAGGACAAGACCACGGATATACCCGATCGTCTGTTTGATTCCAATCATCGTAAGACCTATAAGCGTATGCGCTTCTTTGGTAAGGTAAGTGTCAATTGGGTGTCGCACAGATTTAATATAAGAACTTAAGGGAACACGCGTTGCCTGTTCGAACCAGGCAGCTGCACTGTCTGTCCTGGACATTTTATTCCTGTTGTTGTTTTCGTGGTATGCAGTTATGTTTGCATGTATGTATGGGTGCAGGTCTGTGTGGTAGTGCATATGTGTAAAATTGAACGCACAGACTAGTAGTGTTGTCAAACACCTAAAAGCAACCAGTTGGCCGTTTTGGCGCGTACACACATGTATGTACATATGTATGCTCATATATTAATGAAAAACTAATTCCATGAATTTGAAACACTAATGACAAATTTAAAATAATATTTTCAGGGTGGCTTTGCAAAATGTTACGAAATAATCGATGTGGAGACCGACGACGTTTTTGCCGGCAAGATTGTGTCCAAGAAGCTTATGATCAAGCACAACCAAAAAGAGAAGACGGCGCAGGAAATAACTATTCACCGCAGTCTAAACCATCCAAATATCGTAAAATTTCACAGCTATTTTGAAGATGTTCAGAACATCTACATTGTGCTGGAACTGTGCAAAAAACGCGTAAGTATTTAGATTATTTAAAAAATGTAAAGGATACACATTAAATTTTTTCTCAAATCATGTTACTTTGCAGTCAATGATGGAGTTGCACAAGCGCCGAAAAAGTATTACAGAGTTTGAAACCCGCTATTACATATACCAAATAATACAGGGTGTCAAGTATCTGCACGATAATCGCATCATTCATCGTGATCTTAAGTTGGGAAATCTATTTCTAAATGACATGTTGCATGTGAAGATAGGAGATTTTGGACTGGCGACCCGTATTGAATACGAGGGTGAACGCAAGAAGACACTTTGTGGTACTCCCAACTATATTGCACCAGAGATCCTAACTAAGAAGGGTCACTCGTTTGAAGTGGACATCTGGTCAATTGGATGCGTCATGTACACGCTGTTGGTTGGTCAGCCGCCTTTCGAAACAAAGACTTTGAAGGATACCTACTCGAAAATAAAAAAATGCGAGTACCGTGTGCCGAGCTACTTAAGAAAACCTGCTGCGGATATGGTAATAGCGATGCTGCAACCGAATCCGGAAAGTCGTCCTACAATTGGACAGCTTTTGAATTTCGAGTTTCTTAAGGCTTCGCAAGTGCCAATGTTTTTGCCCAGCTCCTGCCTAACAATGGCGCCACGTATCGGCATCAACGATACTATAGAGGATCCTACTCAGCGTAAGCCGCTGGCAGAATACAATGGCCTGCGAGACGATACTCGTTTGGAGTCGACATTCTTGAAGAATAATTTACACGACGCTATTACAGCGTCGGCTCAGGTGTGTCGTCATAACGAGGACTATCGTAGCGATATTGAGAGTTTGCATCAGCAGCTGACGAAGCTTATTAATGATAAGGTATGTAGGATAATGTTAAATATTTATGATGTAAATATAAAATATAACTCCCTCTTTGTAAAGCCACGTTTATTGCAAGGAAATCTTGGTGATGAGAATACAGATCCCGCTGCCCAACCCTTATTTTGGATATCAAAGTGGGTTGACTATAGCGATAAATACGGCTTTGGCTATCAGCTGTGTGATGAGGGTATTGGAGTTATGTTTAATGACACCACTAAGCTCATTTTGCTGCCTAATCAACTAAACGTGCATTTTATTGATAAGGAGGGTAAAGAATCCTACATGACTACGACAGACTACTGTAAGTCGCTGGACAAAAAGATGAAACTGCTGTCGTACTTTAAACGTTATATGACCGAGCATCTGGTAAAGGCAGGGGCCAACAATGTTCCGGATGAAAATGATCAAATTTCTCGAATGCCCCATCTTCATTCATGGTTTCGGACAACTTGTGCGGTGGTTATGCATTTAACCAATGGTTCTGTTCAGGTACTAATTAAAATCCACATTTTTGTTAAGGTTAATCTTAATATTTTCTTTTATTTATATTGTTATTGTTATTGCTTAGCTTAACTTTTCGGATCACATGAAAATAATTCTATGCCCCCGTATGAGTGCCATCACCTACATGGACCATGAGAAAAACTTTCGCACATATCGATTTTCAACTATTGCACAAAGTGGAGTTTCCAAGGATCTATATCAAAAGATACGATATGCTCATGAGAAACTTAGAAAAATGCTCGAAAAAATGTTTGTTTGAGCAGAAAAGAAGTAACCGTAGCCTGCTGGCATTAATCCATCATCGTTACGTTTATGTCTAGGTAAACAGAATACATTCATTTTTCATACAGCGCGAAATCTAAAAAAAAAAACAATTTTTTCGATGTTCGATACTTTCCAAATTCCCGTTGCTGTTTAAAATTACCCGCTTGTTTATTTATTAAGTTATAGATTCTGTTTTTTTCTGCTAAGTTAATATCCCTTGTAACATGTCTATCGAAAAAAACTCATTTATATATATATATATGTTTCAATAATTTTTAAAGATACAAATATACAATGAAATAAAGTTTTTAAAATGATCAAAATCAGTATATCTAATTCACCACTACTTTTTTTCGACTTCACAAATCGATTGTTATCGGTATTTTTATATTTTTTATTCAGTAGTGTCTTAATACTAATATAAAACGAAATGCCCTGTAATCAGCTGGTGGAAGTACTCAGTAGTCAATGCTGAAACTAAGAAATTATTTTATAACTGTAAAGCGGAATTACTCTCAACCTTTTTCTGTAAAATAAAATACCTGAATTAGCCCCCGTTGACTGCTGTCACTTAATTTAAAATTATTGTTTAGTATATTTAAGCACAATGGAAAAAGTATTATATTTGTCGCTGGAGCGTTGGTCACACTGTTACGCGTTTTCGTATTGATTTTATTTTCAGCAGTCTAAGACAAATTTGTGGAGAATAATTTAAAGCCACCAGATAGTTATCTAAATGCAATTTAGTGAACAAAAAGGCCAGAAGTACAACTATGGGAGACAATGAGCAGAAGGCCCTTCAGCTTATGGCTGAGGCGGAAAAGAAGTTGACACAACAAAAAGGTTTTCTCGGCTCACTTTTTGGGTGAGTAATGGGTACTACAATCGAGCTTAATCGTTACTATTATTGTATAGGCCAGAATAAATAATATATTTCGTTTTAATCAATACTTTTATGTAAATATGAACATTATTCTTCGAAATATGCATAAAAAATATGCACATATATATTTCGATAAATATCTGTCCACACATAGATAAATATTGACTTTGGATAAGGGGAAAGCTGTAACTAATTTCCAAATATATGTTTTAATGCTTAGAAATATATAAATATGGTTTGAAATATAATTGCTTAGTATTACATTTAAATATGAAAGCCAACTGATATTTTGTTAAGTTTTATTTGTGTACATATAGTTCTTACATTACATATGTATAGTTTATGACTAGTAATGTAAACTTTAAACTGGGGAAACTAAAAAACTAAGAAAAATTAACCTTGATCCATATTACCATATTACCATATATAAGATAGACCAGCTTGATTATTGGGTAATATACGTACATATACATAGAAAGTAATATGCGTAGTTTGGATTCACAGCTTCCACTATTATTATGAAATATCATTGCAGTGGCTCTAATAAGATTGAAGATGCCATCGAGTGCTATCAGCGCGCTGGAAATATGTTCAAAATGTCAAAGAACTGGAGTAAAGCCGGTGAATGCTTCTGTGAGGCAGCCACACTCCATGGCCGAGCTGGCAGCCGCCACGATGCAGGCACTTGCTACGTGGACGCTTCGAACTGCTACAAAAAGGTGGACGTGGAAAGCGCCGTTAACTGTTTGATGAAATCCATAGATATTTACACCGATATGGGACGCTTTACAATGGCAGCCAAGCATCATCAGAGCATTGCTGAAATGTATGAAAGCGATCCGACTACCCTGGTAAGTAGCCAAAATACAAGTACACTTATAATAAAGACTATATAGTAATAACCATTTGTAACAATTGAAGGCCAAAGCTATTCAACACTACGAACAGGCTGCCGATTATTTTAAAGGTGAAGAGTCGGTTAGCTCGGCTAACAAGTGCATGCTAAAGGTTGCCCAATACGCAGCCCAGTTGGAGGATTACGAAAAAGCAATATCGATATATGAGCAGGTGGCTGCCTCATCTCTTGAGAGTTCTTTGCTGAAATACAGCGCCAAGGAGTATTTCTTTCGCGCCGCTCTTTGTCACCTGAGCGTTGATTTGTTGAATGCGCAACACGCAATCGAAAAGTATGCGCAACAATACCCGGCATTCCAAGATTCACGAGAGTTTAAACTTATCAAGGTAATTAAGATTCTTAAATGACATTTGCATTGGATAAAATACTTTCTATTTATGTAGGTGCTATGTGAGCACCTTGAGGAGCAGAACATTGAGGGCTTTACAGAAGCAGTAAAGGACTATGATAGCATCTCACGCTTGGATCAATGGTATACAACAATATTGCTACGAATTAAAAAGGCCGCAGATGAGGATCCCGACTTGCGATAAGGTCTATTAACGCATATAAATACAAATATATTAACGCATATAACTTCTAAAATGCTTTTCAGTTAAAAAGAAAAAAGTAATATATCTACGTATATACAAATAATGAAATACACAAGAGAAAAATTAAATCAACTAAAATCAATTTTATTGCTTAAAAATATTTAGGTTACTTTTCAATGTACTTTATAAATTATATCTTCAAAACTTTGGATCATTTTTTTTTGTTGCGTTGTACTGTAAATTATTTTTCAAAGTAATATTAAATTTGTTAAACGTACTTATTTGAATGATTGATTTCTTTTAAGGTTTGTTTTTTTATACACACTAATGTGTTAGTCTATTGTCAATTGACAGCGATTAGAGATGTTATAGTTTTAGCCCTCACGATTTCAAATTTTAAGTCAGTCCAGCATGCCTGTTATTAAACTTAAGTAAAAGAAAAAACAAAATAACTAAAGTTTCTTAACTAAATAAATAAAATAAAAGATGACATGGTTGATAAACAACAGATTATAATTATAGAGAAACATTCAAATCGTTAGTAGTTTTAAATTAACTTGCAGTCAAACATACGCAAAAATACACTCTTAGTAAAAATATGTATGAATTACGAATTACCAATTACGAATAACTAAACAAAATATGACTATATAACGAAATATTTTGAGGATCACAGTTAAATTCCATTTCAGAAAATAAACTCAAACATTTGGTAAATCCGAAATGTACGAAAATATAAATAAATGATTAACTAAACAAAAATTATACAATTTTAATACGTAGTCGTTGCTTGAACATAATAATAAAATTTAGCTGGCTTAAACGCTTAAGCTTTCCGATATTTATAATTAAACTATCTCAATATTCTAAAATTATTATCAAACTTTCAATATGAGCTGCCCTCATAGAATATCTATGGAAAATTAATAAAAATGGTTATATCAAAATCACTTATGTAAAAAGAAAAATATAACACTTTGATCCTGGTTGAAGACTAAAAAGCTTCAAAAAAAACAACATTTATTTTTATTGTCTCACTAAGTACACACAATCCTCGCTTTGATATTATAAAACAAATTCAATTAGATTGGTATTTTATTGGTATTCATGAGGTATTTTATAATAATATTTATTCTCTACTCTATTTGCTCATTAAAACTTATAGTTGTTGAGTACATTTGCTCAAGAAACCAATTTTTGTAATACTTTAAGTTTCTAATCAGTTTGGAAAGTATACGGATATTTAAAATCGCAAAAGTATGATTTAGATTCCTTAGGATAACATTATTTAGAATCGAAAATTATATTTAAATATTTATATATATATATATTTATATATATATATATATTCATATTTAAAAATAAATAATAATAATAATTACTATAGAGAATCAGAATATGAATATTTCAAAATTTTGACGAATCGAAGAAATTAGGTTTAGACTCCCTGACTAAGCTAAGCGAACATTTCGAATCGAGATCGTAATATTTTAGAATTAATCTATTTCGTAAATGAGAAACTGTTAGCTATTTTGCCAATTAGAATTCGAAATGTTACTACTTCAAAGTAGACACACACCTAAAAAAATAGGAAATACAAAGGGAATGTAGTATCCGTTAGATGGCGCCTTATTACAAATGTTTCATTTCCAGCGTATTTCAAATCAGTTTGAGCAACAGAATGAGGTGTTCTTTATAAGACGGTCTGGCAACAATGTTTAACAACTTAGTGCAATAAAAATACGAAAATTGATATTATGAAATGATGCTTGGACTATATGCATTTACTCATTGGGTCGCCACACCTTTTCTATTAAAAATAATCTGGGAGAATAATTTATTATTTTATACACTACTTTATGATATGAATTCTCTGACTTGCTTCTAAAATAATAATTCTAAATATTATTTTAATCATCTTTTTTAGTGGAGGTGAAAAAATATTTATTTTTTATTTTATTACCGGTATATTGTTAGAAACCCTTTTTTTTCATAAAGTATTCGAAATTTGTTTTATTCAAAACAAATAATTTGGGAAATAAATAAATTAAAGACACCTAATTTCTTCCATTTATAAAGGAAATATCCGAAAGGAAATTTTGCAGCTGTTATACAGAGAATACTTGCATTCAGATTAACAAAATTGTCAGGTATTTGCAGTGTTGCACATTTTAATTTTAATTTTAGCCGCTAGTCTTGGTGTTTTACTGGGGAAATACTATGAAATAGCAACTCTCGGAAAGTACAGCTATATTGCATTATAACATAGTGTTGTATTATTTTTAACAACACTGGGAAAGTCGACCGCTTCAAATAATCGATGTAGCTGCACCATCTCTGGTCATACTTTCTCATCATAAGAAAATTATTTGAAAATACTAAATGTTTGCAAGCACGTGCCTTAAGTAAAATACCGAAAATAACTTACCACAAAAACGGCAGATGCCTGTATGTTAAATCCTTTATTTTAAGAATAGCTTACAATGCCTGTTATTGAACCATGTAGTGAGTACTTTTAACTACTTCCAAAATTGAGGAAGTGTTAGGTTACCATAATACCATTGGATATATTAAATGGGAAAATGTAGACGTTTGCTCTTAACATAATTTTCTCTGCGTTTTTTGCCCTTGCATTGTCATGAAAAGATATTCACCATTTCTACTGATCTATACTATTTATATTCACCAATATCTGACATATCTCATGCACAGATATTCATAAAATATTTCAACTTAATTATGAGGATATTCACCAATATAAATGATTTGCGAGCTGTGTTATACATGAAAAGATACTCACCAAACTTTCAGCTCTTTTACTTTGAGTACTTATTAAACTATTTACAAGTTCTACTTTACTTACATATCTCAACACATGCAAAGATATTCACCAAATTTTCACACTTATTTGTTTGTATATTAACCAAATCTTTTGATCATATGTGCTATGTGTGCTTTCTTGCTTGCCTGCTATCAGAGACTTAAACCTTGTACCTCAGTTAAAATCAAGAAATACTTCATTTGTTAGCCCACAAATAAATTTATTTTTAGCTCTAAAATTCTATTAAAACTTGAGAATTGGAATAAATATTCATTTGAAAATCTTAACCAAATGTATTTAGTATATATAATTATATGTATATACGCCCATTAAGCCGTATTTTCCACAGTTTTTAGAGCTGGAATCTTTAAATTGTCAAGTCAATTACAGTTGAGATCTTCTACAAAGAATGATAGGCCCACGTCCACTTAACTGTAAAAATGCTGTCAGATTTGTATAACAAAAGTACAAAATCTGTGCTTTATTACAGGAACCGCAATAGTTAATTTAAAGTTTTCTGCTTTTGTGGTATTTAAGCTAAGCTTTTCGATATATAGATCATATGCTGCAAATTTCATTGAAACACAGAAGTCATTAGCAAAATGTCTAACCAATTAGCAAAAATACGTGGAAAGCAGCGCCAAGCGTGTGCGTTTTTCCTAGACATGTGCACATACATTCAAATGCGTAAAATATTAAGAAATAACTGTCTTACTTAATTTCTGAACACTTTCATTCTGTAAAGTTGTAATTGGGATGAAGATCTATATATATCGAATATAAAATAAATGTATTATTAAGGTCACTTTTTTAAGAACATGAAGTCTATTGATTCAAAATTAACCGCTGAATAATAAATGCATCCTCCTATTGTCGTAACTTGCCATTGGCTATACGGCATGCAGACAATTAGATGCTTTCTTTTTCATTTCACTTAAATTGCAAATGTAAAGTAAACCATAATTAAAACATTTGTCGGATGTGAGCGTGGGTAACCAGAGCAAATTGTGAATTACACGCTCGCTTAACCACTAGCTGGCCACCCCAGCTCAGAATTGGGCAATATGTACGCAGAGTGCCAAGTGCCAAGTGCCAACTGCCGAGTGGTTGCAACATCAAATTGTAATTACAATTTCCCGACGGCCTAGCGAATGCAGTGGTGCCCCTTTCTGCTTCACCTCCATCTCCATCTCCGTCTCCGTCTCCATCTCCATCTCCGCCTCCACCACCGTCTTTGCGTTCGCCTTCCCATTTGTTAACATGCGCGTGCTAAAAAACAGTCTCGACGGTGTTGCCTATCAGTGTCACTAAGTGAGGGCTACGTGACAATTTGTTGTTCCGCGAATCTCCCCATCGTTTTTTAGCACCCCCGGACAGTGTAAAAAGTGAATCGCCCTTCGTGGTCGCTTAGCTTCAAACCGAAAATCGTACTAACATGTGGTAACCCATAATTTACGCTAAGGGAGTTATCAATATTTTTACCACTACGCCCTCCTTTGGATATGATTGTATTTAAATAATGAGGCCGTAGCTTATGAAAATATGTGTATAAATAAATATATTGGATAGAGAGTAGAGGTAAGAATTCTACAAGTTCCATCATTCCTTTTCCTACTCGGACAATTTAATTATTTAATTTTCAGTTCTTTAGTATTTCATGATCCTTAGACAAGTAGTGCAATATAAATGATCCTTCATGAGCGGCTCAAAGTTCCTCAATGGCTAAGCGTACAAAATAGATCATGATCAAAAGAATAAATGAGCATTGAGAATTGGTCCACAACTTCATAGGTTTAGTAATCGAATCCCGCTCACATCGAGTCTGACATAAATCATGTTTGTGTAACTGGCATTTTTATGTCAAAATCATTTAAAATACATAGTTTGCGTTTCACCTATAAATATTTCCAAATGTATGGTCTTAGTTTACTTATTAACATTTTCTAACTGAATCATAATATATGGTACGGGTGATTCAGTCAAAAATTAATTTCCTTGTGTTAACAGTCTGTTTTCGAAGATAACCTAATTAACACAGATACAATAAATTTAAGATAAATTATTTTCCAAAAAGTATCTGTAATACTTGTCATATTGCTATATAATATGGCTTCTCTAGGCACAATTGGTTGCGTATTAACAATTACCATGTATCAACAAGGGTATTCAGACACTCTTAATCGTTTTCATAATCCGTATTCTATATAAAAGCAAATCGTAATTTGAATCGTTTTTGCAGTTTAGCAATAAATCTTTCTTTCAGATCTATGCCAAATATTGTGACATAAAGAGTGGCATCAACATCA